ACATATTTTCTTGTGAATAGCATCTGTGTTGAACTTTCCTTGAAGGGTATGCGAAAGCTATCTTGTATAATTTTCCGTACACTTTAGGCAAAACACGAACGATACAGTGGTCGGGGTTTAGCAGTGGAGCCCGTTTACGGACCTCATATATGCCAGGTTCATTTGTAAATGCAAAGTCTAATGTATTGTCAAGACGAGCGGAACAGTTAGCCATATTTTATGACCCAGTGATAATAGAAAACTGTAGTCACATGAGTTAAAATCTCCACAGACGTTAGACAAAGATATTCCCAGAACCGGAGCAGCAAATTCAGTGAATTTATCAGCAAAAGTTGACAAATCTGAGAAACTACAGTCAGGTGTGACATACATGTTTGTGATATATATGTATTTGTATTTGCTCAAATGTTTGGGACGACATTTGATGGTAATACACTCAATTTTTTAGTTGGAGAAGCAGAGGCATACATAGTTGGAGGACGGCCAGTTAGTACTAATAAATGTTGCTACACCACCACCATATTTCTTCTTCAGAAAGCTCCGATCTTGTCGAAATAATTTGAAACCATCTAAGCAGACTAAGTCATCATCATACAGATTATGAAGCCATGTTTCCAGCAGCATTATTACACTCGTGTTTTGGTAAAATTTGTGGACAAGAGTGACTGAAGGTAATCAACTTTATTCGGCAACGACCTGAAGTTTGTACTAAGTATTTCCGGAATAGTCATTTGATCTATGGTCATACGCTTCACAGCTCGTTGCCATCCACCGTGGTGCTTCTTCTTAAATTTCCTATCAACTTGCGAAGCCGTAGGTTGTAATGATTTTAAAAACACGCGAGAATATACAATAAGATTGGTTGACATAACTAAACGATTAAAACAACATAGAAATAAGAAATGTGATGCAATATACTCGATGATAGAAAAGGGTAGCCCGGAGTTCAAGCAGGTCGCTGTATATTTCTAGTTGCTTTCACAATTGGAGCTATGTATTTAGAGGAGGTTGTGGTCTGGAATGAATTGTTTGAGTCCTGGTGATTTTGCATCTGTAGGTGGCAAAAGGTGATAGTTTTCGCGTGTTGAGTAGAAGTTGGAAGTGTATCTCGATGCCTAGTGGGCGTTGGCATGATCCGCCACCATAATCCGCATATTGGGTTGGAAAGGGAAACACAAAGGCATGGGAAGTGGAGTTAGCCGTCTTGGAATTTAGGGAAGCAGTATTGAAGGATGGAGTATCTGAAGAGGATACGAGGAGTGAGGGGCAATATAGTCTTATATCACTTATTCCAGGGTCAAACGTATGCTCTGTGACGTGATCGCTTGGGCCCCGCGGTAATGAACATATGAGTACAAGAAGCCATGAATGTGGATCTGCTACTCCCTGTTCCCGGAAATCTGCCTCGGCACACGCTAACCTTGTTTCCTCATTGTCTGGGCAATAAGGCACCAGCTGGATAGTGCTTGTCGTTAGTTTAATACGAATGAGTTTCGGAGCAGGGTTGGATATGGAAAGGAGTTATACGTGGACATATGAAGGTTATCAAAGTAAAAACGATGTACAAATACAGAAGGGAACGGGCCAACCAATTTAAGAATCGTTCTTATGCGAACTTGACAGACGAAGAGACCAAGCACTAATTATTCCTACTTGAAATACTCTCTCAAATGCGAGGCCGAGGAAGAATACAATAGCGTGGTCAGATGGAATGGTATATTTGCGAGGCTGTGCCAAAATACCGATGCGTTTCAAATAGCTGACTAGAGAGTCCATTACCAGCAGTGTAACGTGACACGACAGTGTGCCGAATGGTGTGGACGTTGGACCGCGTGCCTTCAGCTCAGCGAGTCCTATAAAACCATGAAGGTCAGCATCAGTGCTGAATCCCGTCAAACCCTAGGCTATCGATTCCGGAGAAGTGTGTGACGCTTCGTCTGTCAGTCCTCGGAGGAATGCTCATGATATTTCTGACTAAAGTTTATAAGTAATCTCTCGCGACAGATTTGGTTTTTCGCTTTGTTCTCTGTGTTGCTAGGGTCCACTACCACTCTGTAAACGTGGCTGCTATTCATTTCTGGCGGACTAAGTACTTTTGACATTTACTTCAATTTCCCTCACCGTTAAGCCCCTATGGATTTGTCCCAAAAGATGAATATTCTTCCACCATCCAGTACACAGTTTGGATAAAATGTGCCATTCAGACCATGGACTGTTTTCAGCACAATTTTTTCACCTTCTCAGTTCCTTAAAAGGAGCTCAATGACAGCATAGTTCTTACAAATAGTGTTGATTCCTAGGACCGCCACTGATAATTATCACTCCCAGAGTGCTTAGATAGTGTTAGGGTTATTACCCAAAAAATCATTTGCGTGATTTTTCTGCAAATCTTCATTTGGCGCATATGTTTTCTGATAGTTAGCCTCTGACTTTCCATGATAAAAAATAGGTTGTTTCCGACTCAAGCTACAAATAGTTGGTGATCGCTCTACAGCTGCGAACAAATAATTTGAATTGGTGAACCAATGGAACGGTGACAGTAACATCAGACATGCATTTTGTCAGTAGTTCCTGAGCTTTTTCAGGTAGGATTCCCACATCTATCTCATTCTTTAAGATGGCCTCATATGTGACTGAATATTGTTGTCGCCGTTTAACAAGACGAAGAATCCAACATTTCTAGAATTTGGCGTAGCCGAATTTCAGGCTTGTGAGGTTTTAGTAAGCCATAGAGTCTAGGTATATGCTTGTGTAAGACTTTTAATGCATTACATAGGGACTAAAAAACCAGATTCCGTTCCGTCGCTGACTTTAGAATATTAATCATTCGGTGTTCTGTTGTGTCTCTAGTCTCCTAATTTCTTAAATACTGCTTGTTCGCCGGGAACAACCATCTTATCTGTGTAGTCACACTTGTTCGTGATACTGATGCGAGATGTTCCACCAAGTTACCATCCCTCTCAAGCACTTGGGTAACCTCTCAGTATTTCTTCGTGAGTTGGCTTCTGAGGGGATATTTATCATTCCCAAACTGATAACGGCAGTCGACTAGTTTTAAGCCACTCTAACTCATACTTGGAAGACAGTTATATCTTGTGTGCTAAAAAGGTTTTCAAATAGAGTATAAGTTTCAGTGGTTGTCATTAACTTAGCTACCTCTGTGACAAAATTTCGGGCTGAGAGATGGAACGCCCAGTTATATCTTATCTATACAGGTTGAGGAAGAGGTGAAAACACACCGATCGTAGTCGCTTGGAATACTGGTTTCTTCACTTTGCGTGTCTGTTCCCTTCGTCAGGAAAAATCCTCTGCCCGTTTTCTAGAGTTCCCACTGCTTCATTAATACAACCAAAGATTCCTCCGTATTTTCTGGAAGTTCCTCGACATTATAAAATCGTCGTGCGAGATTTCTGTCCGTTAAATAATGAGTATTCAAAGGGATTCAGTTTGACCAAGTCCTAATTCTAACACTGAACTTACTACCACTTCACTTAGAGAGAAGATTGCGTAGTTCCTTTAGTGCTGGCATTCTAACCAACCTGGGGGTGTTGTTTAATGCGCTTTGATTTGTTCTTGTAACGTATCCAAAAACGTTGACCACTCAGTTCATTTAGCTTCACTCAATTTGCTTGTACAACCACATTTAACCACATGTTTCGATTAGTGTTACAATTGCACTTCATTTTGTGTAGAAACCGCAGTAGCTGCAAGAATTGAAGGTTTGTAATTAAGTTTTGTACACATATTTTGCTGTGAAGAACAATTTTCGTAGGGTCCACTTACTGTTTGAATATACATTCGTTTTTGACGACCACTTGTTTTGGATTTGGTCGGCCTCGCTTTGGGTTTTAGGAGCCCCGAAAATTCCTATCTTCGTTACGTGCTACTCAGCGGATTTGACGTAACAGTTATTTTGAAATGTACTTCAGTAATGACTATGTCTAAGGCAACCGGTCCCTCTGGTAAGTGTAAGCAGTGTAATGAGAAGATGAAGATTATGTGAGAAACGAGGTTTATCAGCCCCATAGATTTCGAACAGTCTGGCAGCACATGCACTTGTTGGACCATTTGTGCGGAAATTTAGTTGATTGCGGCCAGCAGAGGGATCCAGGAAGCACATTTCGTCCTACTTGGGATTCATCGACCGAATATACCTGCACCCCAGTGAGTAATGTTGTTCCCACTGAGACTCGAGTCCCGTGCCCATCGCTTCAAATGCAAGGCGTTATCCACCGTGCCACGGGGGAACGCTAGACACTTCTTGTACAACGGGTAGTAGTTATTACCATTTATTGGTGTACTTGTAATTCTCCTTTGTTTCATTGGATTGAATTGTTCGATAGCGCGCTTCCTGGATTCCTCTGCTAGCCACAACCAATTAAGTTACCATGATCGACACTCAGACAATATCTGGGCATCCGCATGAGGGCCTATATGCCAACAGAAGTCGGACCATCCGATCCAACAAAACAACGGAGACTTACAAGTATATCATTAAATGGTGACAATTTATGTGGAAACTTACGAGGAGGGTTAACTACGTCAATAAGAAACGTGAAAATGAGAAGGGCCGAGTAAAGTCGGGACCTAAATCACAGCATTCTTGGTATGAGAATAAAAATCAACGCAGCCAACGTGGGCTCACGCTGTTATCGTGCGCATAAGAGGGTTTGAATTTACCGACGACAATATCCAAACAGACAAAAACGCATGCAACCGGAAAGAGAAAAGGAAGCACAATTTACAGATAAAGCGACAATAGTGGAGAAACGCAACTGATTTCCCCTTGACTGACTCCGTTTTTGCCGCGAAGCCACTTTCCTCACTCAACATACACGTCCACTTTCCCTACACTCGTCCACTTTTACCTTTCAAACTAGACTTATTTTCCTTTACTTATCAACTACCTTCCCTCACTTTTGCTTCATTTCACCTCATGTGTCTGTTTTTCACAAATGTTTCAAGAATATTAACTTTAAATTTAACGGTGAACTACATACCCAAGTTGATGGAATCACAGTGGACTTGACACTGAGCTCCACATTGACGGATCTTATTCTGTCGAAACTAGAGGGTGATTTGCTTGGATGATCTGTCATGGAACTTTCATTTTACTGCTGATATATGGGTGACACAACCACCGTGTGCGAAAACAACATGGATGGGTCAGATACTCAGTAGACTTGACACTACACCCAGCAGGCAAATTTACATTTGAAGCTGGGCCACAAAGCAAGATGGCCTCTCTCCATGTTCTTCTTTGAAGACGGAAAGATGGGTGGTTAGAGGGGAGTTTGTCTAGGTAAAGTACGTGGACTGGGCAACACGCATATTTTCTCAACTTTTTCCTCCTTTAGCGTGAAAGATACATAGTAAAAACTTCAGGCTGAAGAATAAGGACTGTATGTCCCGAAGATGCAGTTGAGGGGGAACTCACTCCTTTGCGTGACACGCCAGCCAAAAATGTCTGTCCTGGTAAATTGCAACCACTGATTGAAAACCATCATACATTCAGGCTTAATTTGGGGGTGACTTGTTCACTGGGACACTACTCTGCAAACTACACAGAGAGATTCGGAGAACTTTCGATTCTGGTAAATTACAATTTCTTTTTACCAACACCCATCGGTATCACCGAGACCGAAAGGTGAGTTGCCCTTTCTGGTTGTCTCCAGCCGTTTCTGTAGTGCACCTTCCTGGGACCAAGATTCAACTGTAGCTAGAATAAAGAGACTAAACTGAATTTGTTAAATAATTTTCCAGCCTGTCTCTGGATGCTTAGGCTGTTTTAAGTCTTATTTCAACGAGCGTGCATCCAAGCAGGCTGCGATGTCACTTTGCGCTCCCTTTGTGCTGGTTAACAAGTATATCCTCAGAGTCTCTAGCCCAGGCATATTAACAAGATAAGTTGGACAAACCGTACCCTAAAAGTTACTGCCACATCTTTTCCAGCTAAATATATTGCTCCTTTGAAAATATTCCTGAGTCCCGGTCCTTTCGATTTGTATTTCATTGCCTGTACCTACGCGTTAAGCAAGATACTAGTCAAGCAGGTACCGGAGCACACTGAACCAAGTAGGATCGGTGAAACGCCACGCAATCATAAATTACAGTGCCCCACATGTCTGTCGGTCTGACTAGTACTGTGAACCCGGTTACATTGGCCGCCGCTCTGGGAATTTGATTTTTCGCGTTGGCAAACGCCTCCCAGCGCGGTTAAGTAAGAGTGTGGTGAAGACCATCGCTAGCCCCCCTATTAGCATTCACGGTTGAAACGGACCATCAAAGTAAACATGAATGAGTCGTTTTCTGTCATGTGCCGCAATCATCAAATTACCAAAAAGTACCTAGTTGAGGGTCCTTCAAATCGAATAGGCAGTAGTAATCAGGACCAAACAACCACAGGAGTGTTTCAAAGAACTAAGCTTTGCCCTTACAACCACCTTGGCTAGATTCGGCACGCACAGATTCGTCAGCATCTTGCGCCAGATAAACTACTTCAACGGTGTAGGTACGCCTACTTCACTTTAAACTGAGATAATTTAGCATATATTGACTTATTTTGTCCCCTAATGTGAGTGACATTCTAATGAAATATAATCCCTCAAGCTATCCTCCCTAGTTTATTTTATCCAGCTATCATGAACAACTTCACACTTTTCCATCAGACCATCACATTATAGCATAACCTGAGCACTATAATCGTTCGGATAACCAGTTATTCTGGGTTGAACCTTGGTAATAAGTGATACTATCATGAACATTCATGCATGGCCTTTCCCAACTGACTTCCTCAGTTGTATACTACTGTTAACAAACTGATGAGCGGAATCTTTATTGGTTACCTGTATATTTTCAATGCAAACATATAACCGTAGAACCTGAAGAAGTTATCGAAAAGAATGTTATTTTTCACTCAGATGGCCTTTAGTTGACTCCTGCTGGAACGTTTTGCAACCCCGTCCCTAAAATCGTAGAAGAAGTCACTTGTAGCATCATTTAAATCCTTGTACAGTAAGTTCTCCCTTATTCCAGGGCAAATGAAATCATCATTTGTGATAGCTGACCCGGAAAGGACTGATAATGGTCGGTTAGCCTAATGTTCACCTCCATCAGGCCTTCATGAAGCTAGGAAAGTTATTAATTGTGGTTATTAGTTCCAGGAGTTGTGCCATCAGATAGCAGTCTGAAATAGTTGGGATTGGTGACGATGAAGGCAGCAGTTTCCTTGAAGTGCTGCAGTCCTTTGAACAACCACGAAATTCAGTCACCTGACAACAGGTGATAATAGGGCATAAATTGGGTTGACGCTAGGGTGCTATTATACTGAGCAATCTGAATGGCCTCTTGTCATGCCTAGACTCATAGAATCGTAGGCCTCATTCCTGTCCTGCCTTTTGCTAACCCTGAAAATATTAGTTTCGGATGAAATACGTCTTAACTCTTGCACTTCTCCAGAAACAATGAAGAAATTTCATCCCCAACCCGGTGATTCCTGTAACCATGACGTTTCTCCGCTGTCGGGCTTCAACTTTATTCTTTCCACTCGACATGCTTAAGTTATCATCATATCCCATGATTTTTCACCCAATCCGTTTGACGGGAAACACTGCTTTTAATGTTTTCAGCCTCATAGTTGTCTGCGAAGAAGCACAGACTGCCAGTGGCTATCAACTTGCTGGGTGTAACGAGAATCTCGTGGCGGTCTTTCACAAGGACTGAGAAGTACGTTACAACTGATGGATTCAGAAAGGGTAACTACAAGAAACAAAGTTACTGCCACACGAAAGCCTTTTAGTTCATGGTGGCGTAACGCTGGTGTTTAGTTTTAATCAAGCATCCATTACTCAGAAAAGTAGAGCCATTAACACCTAGAAGCAGAATGAATTTATAGCACAGACGAGTAATGGGAATGCAGAACCAGCATATATGTTATTACTTCAAGTGACCTATTAAAGAGTTGCAGACAATTAATCCCTGTAGCTCATGTGGATGGTCTTGGTTTCGTTGTGTTCTCTGAGCTGGGTAGTTTAATCGTAAAGCTTTCGTCGTCTTTTTAGACGATGTCATCAGCACTAACTTAGACAACCCAGCTCAGAGAACACAATGCAACCGAGGCATATAATCTCTGTTAAGAAAGCAAGTTGTTCAGTATACCTTCGGACAGCTTGGTTAGCTACTGTATAACCTCCGCGCCCAAGGTCCCCCATCTTACTCACGTAAGACTCAAAAGAAAGTGCCAAAAATGACTCTGGTGGCCTATGGTGAGCAGAATCATCTGCAATGTGCTTGTTTCAATGCACATTTCAAACTAGGTGTTCATAGCCGTAAAGCCTCTGAAATTCTAAGGGGAAGTTATGCAACTCCATCTAGACCGCCTGTAAAAATCTTTGACAGAACCTGGAAGGTCGAAATGAATAAACAGCCAGAGATAATCGGTGGAAATTGGCAAACACAACAGGCGAAAGGATGTCTTCCAGTGTTACTGAACCTATGTATAAAAGAAACACAAGTTTCAGTGGTCTTCGATAGCATAACATCGATTACACTGTGACACTTCTTTTGGAAGTCAGCGGGCGCACGGCTTTCATGTTCCTTAAGTTTCAGGTTTATAAAACTAATGGGTGCTGTTCAAACTCAGTTCCCTTTCTTAAAAAGATCAAGCCGTAGCGCTACTAACTTCCAGACAACACCCAAGTATATCAGATGCTTACGTTCCGGAGGGAATGGCTATATCACGTCGGTAGGCAAACTTTCATAGCTAGACCTACCGCGGTGATGCTTACACTGCTGCTGTCAGCGAAAAACGCCATCAGTACCCAAGGTATTTGGACCATTTGGGAGGGTCATCCTACCTTCTTATTTAAAACTTGTAACCCCTCACTTGTCGCGGCCTGTTGTATCGTCGTGCCCAATTATGTATTTCACATCAGTTCTGGCTGGTGAGTCACACATGATGGAAACAAGACTCACACGTATATGTTTCCGAAAGTTATCGACTCCAAAACCCCCCTGTAGTAAAGGTTTTAAGCCCGTCATCAGGTCGGCGGACTGTTCATTAAAGTCTGATGGTCTATGTTGCCCCCCGAAAAAGACCCCTCTAACACGGGGTGGCATGGTCCACCCGATAGAGACCTTGAAAGTGATAATCCATCGTAGTTCAATTACAACTCGACTTCATGAAGACCCCTGAAACCGAGCCACTTCTATGCGTAACGAGATACATTTCTCTTCAGTTCAATGTCCTAATAAATTTCCCACCCTATAACTTTTGCTTCACATACACAGCACCACCATATTACACCTCTAACGCTGCTAGGGAAGTAAGGAAATTCTTCACACAGTATTTTCAATGTGACGTAAGCATTTGCTTGTGTGATATTCGCTCAAGGCATGCTACTTGTTCTAATATTCGACATCCTTTCCTGCTTACTTCCAGTTTTCTCCACAGACTTAACAGGCACATTTGTGTGTAAATGTAATTTGTGAAAATGTTCGTGTTGAAAAATCATACAGCTGTCAATACTGTTGGTAGCTGGCGTGCGGTTGCAGTCGAGTGCATCCATAACTCCTCAGCATTCTGCTGTCACACCTAGTCATTTATGAACTTTAACTGGACATACTTACCAGTGGTAGGAACAACTTCAATGTTTCCTAGAGCCTCCTTCAATCTTCAATCGGACTCATTAGACAGGACTTTACAAAGTAGCTTGCATTATCTATAAAAGATAGACCAGTGAAAGTGCAAACGTTTCTGTAAAAACACGTACCTCGAGCTGTTAGGATGAGACGTGTCCCGACAACTCCGATATAAAACGAGGGGAATGAAAAAGTACCATATCCTACAAAAACACAGCACTTACCTGTATCATAGACATGAAAATGAGGGATTGCACGGGATGTGCCGATAAAAGTGTGTAGAATGTTTGTGTTACTAGTCCGTTACGTTTGACCAACCCTACTTAACCCGACATGTTCTAGCACCTGCTTAACCAGCGCCTTACCTAATGTGTAAGTACTGATAGCGAAACACAAATCAGAAGAACTGGTTTCAGGAATATATTCGAAGAAGTAACATATTTATTTAGAATAAATGTAA